TAGTTGGTAAATATTACCAATACTTACAAATATTTTATTTTTATAACTTTTAATTTATATTTCATTTTCTTTATGCAGGCAGTCTGCTTGAAGCAAATGAATTTACTTTTTGTAGTGTTGCTGTAATATTAATATCTACTTTTTGATATTTGTACACATTGAATTAATCTTATTGAAAGGTTAGTTATTTATATATTTTTGAATTGGATTACGTTAATTTGTAAAAGTTACAAAATGAAATATCATTAGTTGTATTTATGTAGTGTTGCTGTAAATATTAAAAAAAAATTAATTATTGTACGGAACCGAACCGAATCGAACCGAACCGAATAGAATCGAACCCGAACGGTTCCATAATTATATTTGGACCCGACGGGTCCATTTATTAAATACCAGAAAATTTTGGGTAGGTTCGGGTCTTTTCAGAATCGAACTGAACCGACGTGCGGACAGCTCTAGAGGTCACTGAACTTCAAAACTACGCTAAATAATCACTGAACTTTGCTAAAACTTTCTAGGAGGTCACCGAACTTTGCAAATTGTGACCCCATACATCATTGATTTAGTGACCCCCTGTGAATTTTTTGCAAAGTTGAGTGACTAATTAGAGTAGTTTTGAAAAAAATCAGTGACTTTTTAGGGTAGTTTCGAAGTTCAGTGACTAATTAGGGAAGTTTTGAAATTCAGTGACTTCTTGGGAACTTTTAGCAAAGTTTAGTGACTATTTAGGGTATTAACCCCATTATTGGAATTGGTTGCCTTTTTCAAAAATAGCGAATTTCCCATTTCAGCAGTGCACTAGACGCCAGTTAATTCTTGTTTTGACGTAACAATTTTGGTTTATTTTATTAGAGTCCCACATTGGCTGGTGATATTTACACGATCCACTTAATAAGGTGAGGGCAATACTCCTCTAACAAGTCGATTTTGTTAGGTTGAGTTAGACCCAATATCTTTTCTAATATGGTATCAGAGTAGGTCCAGTTTTGCAATGTCGGGTGCACCCAATATCAATTTATTCACAATTGTTTAGCATGGTCCACGCTGTGAGTGAGGGAGCATATTAGAATCCTACATTGACTGGTGATATTTACACGATTCAGTTAATAAGGTGAGGACAATCCTTCCGCAATTATCCCTATCTCTTTCTATTGTCATTCCAAGAGTTTTAAGTCTTGCCGTAATGTTACTCATTTCAATAACATGCTCATGCATGGTATGAGAACCATCAAATTTCATGGTGGTTAAGGTATTCATCGTATGCCTGCAAATCACTTGTCAGTTGTTTGGGAACGTTATTTCACAAATTTCATGTACTTCTTAGCAATCTCAATTTTAGGGATACTGAACTTTATATTCCTTGCTAAGGTCATCGACAAAAACATCGT